GTCGGCAGAGCAGTTGATATTAAGGGAACACGAACGCTCAGTAAGTATATTTTAGTAGTAAGTGAACGATAACCAGCCTCAATTCTGCTGTCGCTAGTTGTATTTATACGCAGAGTGACCGTAAAGCAAAATAAATGTCAATAATGACGATATTCATTGTAGGTTGGCCACATCAGATGACTGATTAAATGGATAAAGTGATGGTTATTTATGGGGAAGGATAATTTATGGATACGGTGCAGCAAAGCCGACGTTCGTCTCAGGAAAATGACAGGATCAAATGCTAAAGATTAAACAGTGAGAAATCAGGATACCTGTGTACAGAAATGNTACTGAATGAGAATTGAGGCAAGGTAGGATCAAAGCGAATTGCCGTGACGTGCTTTACTAACCAGCTGAACTCACGAATAACTGTTCTACCTTCTGCAAAGTTATTTAAAGGCACGCTGTGATTTCGGCCAAAGTACCACGAGTCCATCTCGTCAGTGAGTATTGGTGAAATCACGTTGGTGAAACTTTCCCTTGAATGTGTATTGTGCTTGAAAGTAAGTTCTATTTTGTTTCTATTTTGCTACTTCCTACTATTTTCTTCTGTGCTTGGCTGATCACCTACCAAAGTGATGGTTTAAATTTGACTTTTCTCAATGCCCACTTAAAAGCATTCGATTCGTGTCTAAATTCCTCCTACTGCCCGCTTGAGAAAAATGTATTGCATCGTGCTTTATGTGTTCTGCAAACAATGTGATAAAAGTTGATTTGCACACTCACGACAACTTCACCAAGACCCAATTAGGAATTTTTCATTCTTCTTCCCCGTGTGGTCTTGTTGTGTGCATTCCGCCACTCTATTGAATCCTTTCAGGCACAGTTTAAAGGAAAACTGGGGAATGTTTGCTTCCGTGCTTGACTAATTCGCTAACAAAATACTCTTTCAATCACAGGCATGCTTTCTGTGCGTTTCATGTATGGATGAATGATTGTGGATACCGGAATCGACGTGAGATGGAGTTGTATCATTTTAGATTAAAACAAAAGCGTTTTCTGATGAACCAGCATATAAAAACTATTCACACCTATTTTGAAAATACTGCATATTCTATAAAATCTAAACGGGCAAGCAACAAAAATTATTAAAACATGCAATCTAGACCAAAATATATTTCAATAAGCAGAATAGTACCATGAAATATGTTATTAAACCAAAAGTACACAAATGGAACGGTGGAAATTGAACTTTTAATTAACTATTTAGGCAATTTTGCTTATCTTTCCAACATCAAAAACAGGTCACTAACTGTAGACGTTCATGCTTATTCTCAATCTTTTATCAATCATTTTGAGTAAAATTTTAAATAATTTGACTAGTTTAATCATAACTGGATCTAAATCGATGTTAGCTGATTCAAGCAAAGTAGATGGTCCCAAATAGTTTTGCATTACATTTGATCCGATTTTAATGAATGACTCTTATGTTAGAGATTGCATTGATGATAAAAACCAGATGAATGCTACTCTTTGTTACCAGAAAGTAGTTTGTCACACTTCTATTATCCACTAACTTACCCTCGCATTCAACCATTCATTTACTTTGAAGGGTGACGACGAAGCTATTAGAAATTTTGTTAGTTCCCAAACTACCTCTTAGAAGGGAAATGGCCACGTGTTCATTAATACGCTTTTTGATAGAACTCGGCTTCAATTTTCCAGTTTGGTGAAAATAAAGGACTCATCACTCGAGGTCTGTGGATGCAACGGATGTCACTGAAAAAAATTTGGCGTGGTGCTTATAGCGGACTCATGTCCGAAACATCGTGTCACAGAAGCAGTTCAGCGATTCTCCGAGGTTTGCTAGTCTCGAAGTTAATCCCTGGTGTGCAGATAACGATAATAAGAGGGAATTTCGCTTTCTGATGAATTCATTGTTTATGAATCGAATTACTACTCCATTCATTTTACCCAAATCTTGAATGATTTGTCTCAGTGGTGGCTTGTGTTGTGTGTAGCTTCGGTTTCAGTAGTCGTAAATGGTTACGTTACAATTAAAACACTACCGGACCACTATATATTTAACACAACCGGAAAACTAGTCAGTGAAGATGCGGGAAAATATATGTAAATTGTGCAAAAAGACTGAAATGAAATTATTAAGCATTTTCTCCTTATCTTGATAGATATTCCGCTTCACCTGTTCGCCGAGCATGGCAGTTTGTTTGAAAAGGTTTCATCACCAACTGAAGTGATATCATCAGTGCATTTGACCTCGGCTGGTGGTGAAACGTTTGCAAACAAATTGCCAAGCTCGAAGAACAGGCGAAGTGGAATTCAGTTCACCCGAGCTAAGGGAACCGATTTTCAATACTTTCCCAATATGTATATATGCATATATGTATATTTCAGAACCAAAACTGGAGAGCTCTTGTAGACGTCACACCACGAGATACACTCTGTTGGAAAACAGCGATAGATGAGATGGATGCTGAGGTAAGGCGAAAAGTTTTAGGTAACTGCGGTTGCCCACTGGAGCAAGTGGTCGACCTCCATAGTTTACGTTAGTTGGGCCATGTGTTACGCATGTTAGCAAATAGGTCGCCACGGCGAACGATGTTTGTCGAGGCGGGTGGCGGTTGGAAAAAGATCAAGGGAGGTCAAACCAAGACCTGCCATGAGGGTATGGAAACCCTAACCAGGAGATTGGGTCTCGTTAGGCTCTCTGGATGGGGACCTCGGGATGGTCGTACTCGATGGTTAGAGGCACTGAGTGATATGGCTGAGTGTCGTAAGCAGTGACGTTCGTGCATCTTCTCTGGATCATTAGTCCACTGAACTTTACAATTTTCTCTTCGATCCTACTTTCAACCGTTCCTGTCTTTCCCCTATTGTTCATCCAAATGGGTAGCCGAAAGATAGCAATCAAAACCGACTCCCGAAAGTGAATGGTTAATGGTTGACAAACTGAACTGAACTGGATAGATGAGAATGATGAGAACCGCAAAATGGTAGATTGTTATGCAGTGGGCGTGAAGGGTCATGACTAATTCCACGGACAGATTTTGCATATGGTTAATTTTGCTCTGCAATAACGAAGATTTGCAAATATATATGTGTATAATATCTACCCCGAAGTATTGAGGGGCGCAATAAAATTTTTAGTAAAAGTTGAAGACACGACTGAGGAGTTACGGGGTCGGGAGCAAAACTCGGGGATACAATAGCAAATTAAAAGGAAGCGGTAAAGAGCACAATGCCACACAAACTCACTGAGTTTGCGTATCCTGAAAGAAAGTGCCTGATTTTGCTAACACAAGTCTGAACATGTGAAAATCATTTAGGATTTTTATCCATTAAAACTCCAAATTATGTGATGGAGTTTACTCTGGATAAAGACTTATCATGCATGGAGAAGTAAATTTTGATTTGTTGAAACGAGATACCACAACTCCGGTCGGGGTTGAGATTGGTTTGAGATACAAAGGAGTAAATTAGCGAAAACTTATGTGAGGATGTAGGGATTCCCAAATGATCGGCTTTCTACCATCCGAATAGTTTAAAACAAATGCGGAAGAGCTGATTTGCAAATTCCTTATGCAAATAAAAAAGAGTTCAGATAAAAACAGCAGTTTATAACACCCTATAATTATTAGCTAACGATTTAAAAGTAATTTCGTGTAACCTGACTCATTGCGCACATTTGGTCAAATAGCTATACAAACAAGATAAGAACTGCTTCGAAAAAATAAAAAATCAGCTTTTACATAGAATGAAAATGATTATTTTTGTCTCCTCAAGTTGTTTAGGTATTGGAGAAAGAAAAAGAACAGAGATTTCATATCCTTACGAAAACCACATGCAGTCAGTAGTAAACATGACACAATAAAAAAATTCGTTTTTTCTCTAAATGGTGGTCAAATTATTTCCCGGTATGAAATCGTTGAAGAAGGGTAGTGAACCACCTGAATAAATCAATGCCGGGACCGGTCCACAGTTTACATAGCTGGAATATTGGAATAAAATGTCTTGTTAACGAGCATCAGCCAGCCGAATCACAAAAGCGCGGCTGATTTTGTTTCAATCAGTGAGATGCTCGGAATTAGAAACGCTAGTCTGTAAGAACCATAAGGCAACTAATTTTTATCCTTTAATAATGCTTTGGTATTTGCAACCGCTAATCCCTTCCAATTAAAATGAAGCATAGCAACTGGGTCAATGGCCTGGCACGATCATTTCACTTTTATAAAATAGTATAATATATGGTAATATTCATATAATATAATACTAAAATTAAACAATTTAAGGAAATTGGATGACTTATACGAATGATTAGTTTCAATCTTGTTGTTATTACACAAATTGAAATACAGAATCTCTAGGTGATATGTACATCTTGAAAATTTTCTGTTTCAATGTAGATGCTCTCCAGTGAATTGCCAATGTCGTGTAAAATGGAACGTAATACAAATCAGCAAGCTCCTCTGCTGATCCATCCTAGTGACAAGAACAAAATTCGCCGCTTTTTTGGTTCCGGTTCGGCAGCCGATCCAGAACGTCTTCAGAGAGCGGAAATTGATCTATTACGAGCCTCTTATCCTCAACTGGCATGTCTGTGGAACGACAAACTAATGAATCGATCATTCTGTGCCAGTGGTTCGATGGTATCATTTGATTCAAAACGACCACATCAGCGTTTCTCTAACGCACGGTATCAACAACTACTCTATTTTGCCGAGAAGCATGGAATTTCGGAAGAAGGTAACCTGACATTTTGTGTGCAATAAGAGACACTGCGCATTTTTCAGCGCGGGAGGCAGTAAAACCTAAAACATATACACTTATACACTCAAAAAGAAACATTTTTGTTGTCACAAAAACTATCTGCATGATATGAAATGTTACTCTGAAATACCACCAGTCTATGGAATTGTCAGCGCAGCAGTTATAACTTTTGGTTATACAGTATTTCAGTGCAAAGGCAGTAAACTTTCAAAAATATTTCGAAGTATTGCATGAGGTTTTCTTTTGTTTGCCATGTTTTCAATCTGGTCTAACAACATTTAGCCGCATTGGCCATATTTTTACAGACAATGTAAACGTAGAGCTTATGATGTGTGCAAGCGATACTGTTTTGTAGATCGTGGAATATAATTGACTGTGAGAAGAACATTGGCTTCAGTTGAATTTGAAGCCAATCACGGACACCACCTACAATTTGATACAGCACCGGCAGAGCTGGTACAGCACATGCTTTGCAAAGTGTTGGGATGTCCATAGGTGGCTTCAAGTACAACGGAGAATATTAATATTTGCACAATCCACAGATGGCGATTCTCAACTATTATGAGACACGTGCAGAAGAACCCAGATGGGTGGATCCCGAAAATATTCCCCGTCAGTTTGAGCTCCGAGCCCTACGCAATTGCATGTCATCCGGCAATAACTGTTTGATACTTTTCCACGGTCTCCTAAGGGCGCAGTAACCTGAAAAGGAAGTTCCACCTGAGCGCTTCATTAACCGGCACGAATGATTCTTACTGTAAAATTTGTTCTCGCTAAATTGAAAGCATGTTTTCTCTCAGATTTGGGCACAAATACTAACGCAATTCAATAAAATTCTGTACAATTAAACGAACGAAAAACAGTTAGATTTAGATTACCTTGTATTTTACTGTCAAATTATTGTATTATTGTATTATAGTTGACTTTTGCAGGTAACTGTGCCTATATTCCAGTCAAAAATGTGTTCACCATAAGAATGGGTTAAAAAATTGAAACGAAAATTCGTATACAACAATGATAAAACTAGTTAAGTGTTCATCTTTGTAGATTTAAGATTAGTTCGTTACGGTTCCTCGCCGTGTCAGTGAGAATACGAGACGGGGAACAGTTGAGATGCGATAAATGTTTATGCGGGAGGGTAAGCAGCGAAAATTTGATCGGGTTATAGCAGGCAGATAAATCGAGATTGAGATTGATCGAGATTGACTGGGGTCGTTGAGTATCTTATGAGTAAAATTCTCAACTAAAGTGATATGCAAATTACACAACTTTGTGATCACAGTGTTGAAAGGAATAAGAGAAACGACTGATAATTACCAAACCGCGACGTAGAGTAATACAATCTTTTCTAAGTGGTCCAGGGAAAATAACGGGAGAACAATAAAGTATGGCAGGAAAATGCGTTGATAAACAAAAGGAACATACATTTTCGTGCCTGTCGTAGCTTATGTATTTGAAAAGATAATCGACGCAGTCTACCAACACAGGCTAACACATGGGAGCACCACCGTAGATTGCTGTCTATGGTGGTATGTATTCTGATGATGAGTACGAAATCGATGATCGAGGGTTCCAAAAGATATTTAGATCGGGAAAGACTAAAAACGCATTCGAAGCATTTAGAAGTATTCAACCGGAGACCGGATTGATTCGAGAATGATCGCACTTGTAGTGAAGTGTCGGAAAAGGATTCTATGTCCGAGTGGCTTGAAATAGGTTGACATAAGACAACATCCTCAGCGGACTTAAAGGCTTTGGCTGGTGCGATGGAGGGTAAGTCACTGATTAAAGTTGAAAATAAGGAGGGAGAGAGCACAGCATCATGAAGGACTCCAGAATTTTTCACTGACGGTGATGTATTGGATAACTGCCATCATGCTCTGGTAAAATTTCCTGCTCTTTAATCCATCTGGAAGGCCGAGATTGTGTATTGTGTGTGCCTCGCAAGAGACTTACTCCGCATACTATGTTTTCCATCGGAGACAATGGTGGAACGGAAATTAAGCTGGTTGGTTTGGCTTGAATGTGACCAGTGTAGACGATCATGTCCATTGCACTGGAACTGACAGTCGGGAAACGCTAGTGGACATGACTAGGTGCCTTAGCCAATGAAAATCATGCGGTGTGTGGTTCATTCAACATGAGCAAGCAATTCCGTGGTTTTGTGCCAATTCTAGTTTTCAGTTTAACCCGCTTGTTTTTACTGCAGTGTGTAGTGAAACAAATGACAAAAATTTGGTTCTTGATCTCTGTGATTGTTTCTTTTCCACGGTGTTCTCTTATGCGCTCCAGTTTTCAGTTTCTTTTTCAGTTTTCTACTTCCCTTTATTGAGTCAGGAAAAGAGAAGCGACCAATCTAAGAACTGTCACACAAAAATAATGGGGAAAGACAAGCGGTGGTGATGGGAATCAAACATACGTCCTTCGGGGTGATAATTTGGTGACGTTCCATCGAACCATCACCGCCTCAGTTGCACTCGTTTCTATTATTATTGTTGTTGCGTTGACAGCATATTTGTTTGCAAGCTGGTGGTATTACAAATTATAGTGTGCAAAGTTAAGGATAAATATCGAGATTTTAAGTGTTTGTGTCATTCAAAGAAGAGAGAGAAAGGGAGAGGAAAAAAGCAGTTACTATCATTGAATTGTGATGGAAATGTTAAACGATAAATCTTCGTGGCTAATGACTGCTAATCTTTTGTCAGATGTAAGGTCTGATAGTTCTCTTCACACTGACAGTAAGGTATTCCTGTTTAAGAGGGGGGGGGGAGGACCAAGAATCACTTGTTCATGTTTCGGGGATCGTTTGTATAATAGTATTTTTGCTAAAGTGATTTGTAAAATAACCTTCGATGATATTCCACTTGTGGCATGCCATACCGTTCCCTCAACAGAGCTGGAACATGGTATTCTTACGNTTCAAAGTGAAGAATGCAACCGGGAACAAGAAAATCATCATGACCAATCGTGTGACACGGAACAGTTTAAGCAATTCCAAGAAGCCCATAACCCTTTTGATGACCCTTATTTACCCTATGAAAGGCTGGTCAGTTTCCTACTTGACGATGAGATAAGAAGTTCGGAGCCAGTTGGAGCCACCTCGACCACAAAAACTGCTTCATCGGAAAACTGTTCACGGAGCCGACCCAGCACTACAGACTCGCAAACCAATAAATCAACGCCAATGGACAAAGACCGCTCACAAAGCGCTAGATCATGTGAGTACTGGAAAAGTAGACTTTAACGGCGATTATAAAATTCACTTAAACGTAAATAATTTAGCAGACTTTGTGGCACAAAACGTTTTTGTCAGTGGTGTTGGATAATCTCACCAGTATGAGTTCCGCCGAGGCAGAGAGAGGTTGGAAAACGGTCAGGGCGGCCAAAATAACACTTGGCATGAGTGTTTGAAAACCCTAAGCAAGATACTGGGTCACATTGGCCCAGTTAGGCTCCCTGGATAGGGCCCTCAAAATGATGGCAACCGGTGGTTAGAGAGACTGAGAGAAATGGCCGGGTGTCGCAAACAGTGGTGTTCATGCATCTACTCAATATGCTTGCATCCGTAATCTATATGAATTCTCTATCTCCTCAGTGACTCCGCTCTCAACATTTCAATGTTCATTCTGCTATTTTATCAAAATGGGCGGACAAAAGATAGGAACTAAAACGGGCGCACGAAAATGTATGGTTAATGGTTAAGAAAATGGAAAATGATGAGTTTAGCTGATATGTTCACTTTGAACGGCAAAAACATGGATGAAAGCAGTGGAGGACCTGATTTTTCTCTCAATATAATATGCCGAAATGTAGGATGTATTTGGTCGTTATGACTAGGAATGGTATGGTTGAAGAATACAGAAGTGAAAATATGCATTGCAAACGAGATATTATTTACTTATTTCACACATCGTTTTCAATTTTTGCCACTCTCGCGTTCTCTATGTTTATTTCTTCCAAAGTCGGAAAATGTCATGTATTTTCAGCACGGAAATATCCGAGTGATAAACCTCAAATAAAGAGCATAAAATTGTGGGGCAAATGGCTGGATAGACCCAACGGTATTTCCCAAATACTCGGTTAAGTAGCGAGAAATAAAGGAAGCTTGACGTAGGGATCTTTTTTGGGCAAATAATTTAAACATTTGTTAAAACTTTGCTCAGATCAATGTGATTAGATGCGTACTCTGGGTAGCTTGCATAATCCAAAAGTGAATCACGTCACATAAAGCACATCTAATACGACTCACTAGAAACTTGCAAAATAAGACCTCATTGAACTTTGTTCATTCATTATATGAGTAGTTACGGCTCAACGCAGATTGAAACAGATAAGGTCGATTGCAAAAATCAAGATAGTTAATTTTCTATGAGAAATGCGCTTTAGCGAAAAAGCATTTTTCGGTGACTGATCAACTGGCTAATACATCACATTTTATATCACATCATTTTGTATAGAAAAGAAGAAACAAAACTTAGGATTATTGAAATAGGGATTGTTGTTATTGTTTTCTGATCCTGCCATCGGAACCTAAGCTTGGTCCGTGTTAATTGTGTGATTTGGGGTAGGATTGAGAGGATGAGGATGGGAGGTGAAGGGCCGTGGTAGGTTCAGTGATTTCACAAACTAGTTTTTGGGCCCACAAGGGGGGGGGATTATGTAGACAAATTCCAATCGCCTCTGTGGTGGCTAGGATGCCATTGTTAATCGGTTTTGGTCTGCTACCGTGAACACAATAGAGAGGCCGAAATGCTTCAGTCACACTCACTGTGTGACCGGGCTCGACGAGGAGTGAAACGATGGCACTTTTAATGGTTTTAATCACATCGGTGTTCAGTCAGGCTGGATGATGTTCCCAAACTCGTGTAGATAGGCGCCTGCCGTGAAGGCCAATATACGTTGCTCCACAGGAACACATAAACTGGTACACACAAAATGAGACTGTAGAAGCAAGAATCCTGTCTTTGATTTGCGAACACAAGATCGGTCTGGACGTGAATATGATACCTAATTTTGCACGTGAAAAGTATTCTCCAACGCAGTTCCTAGTTTGCGGCTAACCAATTCTGCGATCGTTTCCCCTTTGAATGGGAGAGAAATGTATACTGGCTTCTTCTCTGCGCTTAAAGTCTTTCCCTCGGACGGTTATTTTGCAAAACGTTATCCACAAAGCGTTATGCATAGCAATTTTGTAGGTAAACATCACAAATGAATGATAGTTCCGTATTTATGGTGTCATCGGTGCATAATTTTACCGCTCTCTTTGTCAAGCACTAAATAAGATTTCTTTTTCGTTTTGGTGGGGTAGAGCTTCTGAAGTGGATATGCTGGTCACTCCAAGTCGGTTTCCTATAAATCGATCTCTGAATAGAACCATCTGAGCGACGCTTTAGCCAGATGTCGAGAAAACCAATCCCGTCATTAACCTCTTCTTCCAATGTGAACTTGATGTTTGAATGAACGGAAGCAAGTTGGACACCTTGACGTTACTGTCCACACAACAATATATCATCCATATATCGTGTGTATAGCTTGCATCGCTTAATCGTGGACTTCAAAATAATATTTTCTTGCCTGGACATGAATAAAACCGCAAATAGGGGACCGACCTGGGATACCATTAATTTTCTGAGAAAAAGTGAAAAAACACGGTCTTATCAAACTGATTGTAACAAAATAACATCCAACCATTTTTTCCAGTCAAGTGATTCAAAAATGCAGTTTCAAATTCGGTGCTTTTTTGGAAACAATAACCATTCCCTAAACGTTTCTGTGAAACAGCAAGCTAGAACATGGGTAACGGTTGTGCAAACGGAAGCACTCGAAGGATACCTAGATAGAGATTCAAAATTCGAAATTCATTTGCGATAGTAAGGGAACGGATAGTTAGGATAGCTTTTATGTTAGTGCGATAAATTCACGAACCAAGTTCAAATTAACTGTCTGTTTTATTCATAAAAGTCTTGCATACCGTACTTTACTTAGACTCAGGTAATTCGTATCTCTGATGCGTATTGAATAAAACAGGTAAAACAGCTTGAACGCATATATTTTGGCTTATTATTTGGACTTTTGCTTAAGGAACCGAAAATATTTGTGCGCAGTACAAATCTATGATGAGATGACGGGGCCAGTAATTTTATCCATATAGTTAGGAACAGTATTAATTTAGACAGATAAAATGTAAGGTATTTTATGTTCATTTTCTGGTACCTGTATTTGTCCACGGGAAGGGATCATTGATAATAACTTCCATGTCGGGATAATATTTTACTAATTTCATGACCCATCTAACAGTATTTTGATGTTGATTTACGAGTGTTTCAAATTGATCGCAGATTATTGTTGTCCAAGGAACTGCAAAATGAGTTCCCGTGTCTTATTTGACAACCTCCGTTTGAATCTGAATGCAAATAGCCTGCTGTCATTTTATTAGTTTGTTGTTTTTTACCTCCCAGATTTATCCTACTGTGATATTTGTGAGTAGGTGCAAGTATGCCTTGATTTAAATTTTGCACTTAGTGAAGGAATTGCATTTGCATTACATATCCGTTAGCAGCACGCGGAATTTTGCGAACAGGACGCAGTTCAAGTTCCGGACAAGTGTCTCGAACAAGTCGCTGTCCGTCAGCAGTGACTTTCAAACTACCCTCAGAGGTGAATGCCGGTGACAGTGAGGAGAGAATTACCGATCAGTCGACCATGAGTCAGGACCAACAGGCAAACGAGCTTTGGTCCATATTGGAACGAATTCAGATTGAACATTCCACACCCTCGAGAGTAACAAACTCTTCACTCAAAAATGAAACTGAACGGGAACCACTAAAAGTAGATAACACTTTGTTCTCAAGACAGATAAATGAGAAGCTGGTGAATGACTTCAGTGACTGGTGTGTGGAGGAACAAATGACGGCAGATGTTATGTTACAGGTCAGAATTCAAACATTTTTTCAAACAAATATATGTCAAAATATATTCCACTAAATGGTGTTAGATCAACGGTATTGAGTAAGACAACAGTATCGAATTAAGTGTCAACAGAAAATGCGGATAGTTAGTGAAATTCCGCAGTGGTTATGAAATTGGGAGATGTAGTTACTCTCTGAGCAGATGTGGTTGAGATCTTTATCGTTGCGGCAGTGCAGTAAAGTGCAGTACAAACCAAACAATGGGGACGCCTCAGTACTACGGTCTGGTTTTGACAATGAGAATACCACGAAGATCATTCTCCGTAGATTCACCACCAAAGCCATGGGCAATCTGACCGATTTTATTTATTTGACAACTAAGTAGCATATCGCTTAGCAACACGTCCGAATTGCGTGTAACGAAAATATAATATATAAATATAAATATGAATAAATATAACAACATATAAATATAAAACACTTCGCTTCAACAGCTTACAAATTCCCCCTTTTGCTTTCAGTTTATACGTGCCTTTTCTTCGTAGTGCTAGTCAATGTTTCACAAGCTTCGGTGCTAAGATTTTCTGACTTTGTGTTCAAGGAGGTCTTCAGCCCAGAGAAGGAAATGCAGTAAATGGTCACCAAGCTCCAAAGTTTCCCAAAGTTGTTAGGCTCAGGACTGCAAGCGGTGCACATTAAAACGCAAAATGCACTAAAAATTCCCTATAGTCTTCTGTCACTTGAAGTGTGCTTTGTGTTGTCATATTAAAATATACGTAGCCACTTATGTTTATGACGGCTAAATACAGAAACAAACGTCCCGTATTTGTATAAACCACTTTTTTTTACTTACCATCCTGGATTATGAAGGGATCCAACTGAGCGGCCCCAAAACGTGTTACAAGCTATTATTTGCTTGATAGAAGCGCTCGCGAGTCAAGGTTTGTTAACAGATTTGTACTAGATAGTGGTCATTAGGCAACAGTGAATCGCACTTTTCGATATTCACTTGGGGATAAGAACGTGTCGCATGCTAACGCGCAACTTCATGAAGGCCAGCAGCTTGTTCTAACTCGCTTGAGGTAAGTTGTTGTATTGTATCCTTTTAAAAAGCAACAGCAAGAATAAACGGCTGTTGCGTCCTATCCAGGTCACCAAATATGGAGGTATCCAAAACCTGTTGCACGTGTTTCTCCAAACAGGCGATCAAATATGATTACCTAACAGACCTTGACAAGTTACTACAATGTAACCAAAACTAATGGACGGAACGTGGACCGCTTTGTATGCTGAGGTATCGTTATAAATAGTCTCACCATATTTCGATACGTTCGTGAATAAAGTTCCCAGGCAAACTGGTGTAAAACATATATCCAGACATTTCCTAACTAAGGAGGCTTTCGAGTTTCCTTCCACCACAGAAACTCCATAAAGCCTGTTTTAACTAAATTTGCTACTATAATTTTGGTCTGCACAATGTACGTGTATGCTAGATATTGATCATTTGATGTCTGAGGTTTTTATATATCCAAGGGGTATTCCACAAATAGGTTGTGAAGGTAAGTGACAATGGGATCTATTTGATTTCTTGGTACAAATCAAAATAGGATCATCGGGAAGTTGTTTGATAATTCGTTTATCGTGAATAAACCATGCAGCGTTGAGGCCGAAGATAAGAAAACAAACGTGCCCCTTTTTCGTAAACAGCGGATTCATGCAAATCATTACGGCTTACCTCGTTTGAAAGTGATTCCTCGAAAAACGGATGGTGGATTTTTGGTTAAAGTCGATCAGTCATTCAACAGAAAACTGCGTTCCGCCCATCAAACATGGTCCAGTTGGTTTCATGTGGTTCCCGTTGGATTTCGTGCTTATTTGCAACTGGTCGAGGGTGAAATCAAAGCTTGGACCAAACAGCAAGAAGCAATTTATCAAGCAAATCAACTAAGCGCTGAACTGGAGAGAGCAATGAAGGTTTGTATATATGTGTATACTTACATATACATTCTATACGGTCTGTAGCGTCACAAAAAGGTCACATTAGGTGATTTGTTCTTCATTCTATTTTTTCGCAATGTGCGGTTTTATGAATTTACACAAAGTTTGAATCCGTGGTCGCCATACCCAATCAAGCTCGGAAATCACAAACAGCGATCGAAATTCACGCATGGGTATGTGTGAATAGTGTGTGCCCAGTCCGTTGAAAACCGTATTGTGCAACTGCTTAACTGAGTGAGTTGCCATATAAACAATAACCGATGTCCAATGAGTCAAACTGTACCTCATTAGTCGTAACACGATTTGACTCTAGATGAGAACTCCACCTCTCTGACAGAGTCGATCAAATACCGAGGATCGTCAAACCAACAAACGAGAAGCGATCAGGTCTAGCCACCGTGGAGTGAAACGCTACGAACAATGGCACCGTACACCCGTCCTTTCACAGGGCGCTGGACGTGGCGGCCTCACAGATGCCTAAAGGTGACGCCCACCACCTTGATCTTTGCTGTAAATGATGAGTTTCTGTTTCAGTTTTACATTCATTAACCGTACATTTTCATGCACCGGTTTTGGTTGCTGTCCTTTAGCTGCTCATTTGGATAAAACAACGGAAGAACGAAATGTTGAGAGCAGAGTCAAAGAGCAGATACAAAATTCATATAGACTGGGTTCGCAAAAATAATAAACATATGTGTGAGTACCACTGTTTGCGACACCCAGGAGTGATGATGTATAGTCTTCAGTGCAACTGCCGGCTTTTACTTTCGATTTTAGTTTACACAATGGAATAATTGATCACTTCTATGGAATGAACGTTACTAGTATCCTCGATGTACTCATCCAATTACGCTTTAAAAAGAATTTTGTAAATGTGATAATTTTATATTCTCATTCGTTTCCAAACACAAATTGCTTCCTTTTTAATTCAGTATTATCTATGAAATGATGTTATTACCTCTTGATTTATTAAATACACCATTATTGACACAATTTTTGTTAAGTTACGCCTCGTTGAAGACTGTCCGGGAAAATCCATCTTTGACTAATGAGGATCATCATACTAAGTTGAACTCTGTAGCTGAAATAAATGTCGAGAAAACGTAAGTAGTTTGTTGTCTTTCAGTCTATCAGCACATCTGTCATCTCGTGTATCTGCGATAATATCCTCACGTGAGTTATACACACGGTCATTTGGTGATTAGCGTCACTGAATGAAAATGCCGCCCTGAGTATGAATCACGAGTCATATTGACGAATTACAACCAACACAAATACTTCGGGAATTTGAGTAACCATCTTTTCATGGTCCACCAATATGGCCCTGTGCCTAAACAATGAAATTATTCACATCCTTGCACAGACTGTGTCCATAAAGTTGTTTACTTTGAACTGTTCCCCTTCGCGCAGAATGCAGATCAACCCGCAGAAGACCCTATCAAAGAGACCAAACATCCTTTGCGAAGAGACACTCGGTCCAAGTCGAAGATAAACACAGAGGTATCGCGTTCCCCGTCATCTTTGGAAAACCAGGGGACTCTGATTGGTGACTCTGAACAGTTTATTGTTCCTGGATCATTAAAAGCTTTAAAGCGAGAACAGGTAAGTGACTGTTAACGTTGAGAAACTGTGATTTTATAAGGTGTCTGTAGTACATTTTATGTTTAGTAAAAAATACTGTCAAATGTCCTACTTTTACAGGAACAAGCTTTACTAGCAAGACAAGAAACGGAACGAAATCTGGGAGACAAACGAGCCCGATCTGCTAAACGTCGTGGTGATGCAAATGCGGCAGATAAATCAAAAACTAAAAAAGAAAGTTCATCGGCTTCTCCGAATTCCGGAGCGCGACAGAAACATGTGAAGGGACACTCGATCGCCGACGGTGATTCCAAGTCTGCCTCTGACTTGACATCCGGGGACGGCTCGAAGGAAACATTTTGGCCGGTAAAACGCTAATGTTCAATCAGTTAGTAATAGAGTATATTTCATTCAAATTTCTGTTTCCGTTAGAGATAAATGAGATTAAGGAATTGCTTTGGCGTTTGAGAGATTGTTTGTGATGAGCGGAAATAACATTGAATTGTTGTTTCATGCCTGCTGGAATTCATCAATAGTGTTCTAACTCGAAAGTCTCCGTGAGATGCACAAAGCACGTATATGTATCCAACTCGTCTAAAATATTATATTCGTAAAATCGATTTCAATGCCTTATCGGGTTGCTTTGTTATATCTGTTCACAAGTTATGCTACTGCTTCAAAGTAAAGTTCTATTGACCTTAACATTATGATAACCGTTTGATCGGTTTTACATAACTTAAATTCAAACTTTCAGTTTGTTGGCTACGACGTGGACAATGTAGTTCCACATTGGACCGGTGAGATCACACACTTGTTCCCGACAGATGGTGGAACCATCCGAACAGAACGCAGTGAATTACCTAACGGTAAGTACCTGTTGGTGTCACATTGTCTTCGACTGGAGTTCTCTCACAAGTTTAATAAGAACAAAATATTGGGAAGTCAACGGCAATTTAGAACCGAGTTCCCAGACAAAAACATTTAGCGCCTGACGCTTTACGATATTTTCGAAGGGAATCAAATCTGCCTAGTGGAACGATCGATGGATCAAATCCGTCAATATAAAAAGAAGACAAATGTCGCGAGATGTTAACATTTTGTTTAATCTTCTCAACTTAAAACAAACAATCCTATATATCACAAAATTATTCAGTTATATTGAATGAACGTGTATAAGCATACACAGATTACTAAACATAGAAGTCAAAGGTCAACTCTACGGTTAGTGGATTGATTGTATCAAAAACGTTTGTGCGCAGAAGGTCGGATGATGTAGCCGAACAAGCAGCGCTTAACTAATTGCTAATAGTTTAGCATTGCCATTACGTAAAGGTAGTGTGAAAGACGAATTGGGGTCAACTGTGTGTCTTGTTGTTATGACAAGGTTGGCAACAGATGACCCTGGATTTCTTGTAATCGCTTGACCATCAATTGTCGGTTGCGTCATCAATTTCACCAACCAATTTGGGATATGCTCGGCCGTCTGTTGCGAGAGCTGGTGGTTTGTTCTGCCTATGTATGCGTCACCGCAACTGCAGGTGAACTGGTATGTAGTGTATGAGACAGAACCGGTTTGCAAAACCGGTTTGATACTATTCAAACTGATTTACTCTGAGTGTTTCATCGGTAAATCATCCCACGAGGCGCACGGGATTAAATGCACATGCTTTCAATAAACGGGGACATGCCTTCGTAGATTTCACATGCATCGATAAGGCCATCTTCACTATATGGTGCCTTAGACGTTTTCAAAGATCCAACACTGCTCAGAGCAGAACCTAATAACCGTCGCAATTTGAAAATTATTGATTGCTCTTCAGTAGTTGGATTATCGAAGAATGAGATTATTTAGATTTGACCTTACATATATTTTGTGACTTTTTGACAGGGATCCTCAAACTAGGGGTAGGATAGAGACAAAGACTGGTTTTAACAAGGACTTTTAATTCCCGCCTGGTTGAGAAATGTGTCACCTCGTCGGCAGACGAACGTACAAGTTTATCTACCGTGAATTTGTGTTTTATCTGAGCATCACTTGAACTGCTTCATAACTTCGTTCACCTAAAGGCTCGAGAAGTGTGATCACATCGGAGTTCTCTGTTTCTGTTAGTACTGCTCTCCCCAAAATCGGAAGAGCGTTTGCACACCAAATATGACTAATCTCATCAATTATTCCACGAACGAGGCTGTTCCTAATGAAAGATTTGGATTTTCAACACGCGTAGAGCACGTTATATGAGGTTTCATGTGGTGTGGTGGTGATCAATCAGGTTGCATCAACCGAAACTGTCACTTCATCCGATTCATCAGATGAACGATAGAAGGCTTTGAAACTATTTTCGTTGTGATTTTTTATTAAGAATGAAAACGGTTGCCAGGGAACAAAGTTTGTGTTCAAAGTTGATTACTTTCTGTGGTAGGCAATGGCTGGTAGTGGTGTTTGGAATTTTTGTAACTTTGGCAGTCTTCGGAGTAGAGTTACTGGAAATTCTGTAGGTTTGATGCTAATGTATTCTTTACTGGGAATTTCCCGTCTTTCATCGAGAATCGCGTTTCAGCTTTCAATCTCCTCGTAGTTATCCAATATCTCTTTCACCAGCAACTTCATTTATTCCTGTTATGTTTTACTCCGCTTATATCCGTTGCCTACTATTAGGTCGCACAGCACGTTGTCCCAGGTGAGCACAGCAAGTGCAAAAAAGGCAGAATATAGCACAATAACAATAGTAGCACACGGGAAGGAGAGAACACCAGACTAACACTAAGTCCGTGAGCGGATGATAGTTCTAGGAGCGGAAGCTACCTAGGCGAAACACAGGACGCACGGTCGGTTATTGATCTCTCAGGCCTCCCAAAAAACGAGAGAGAAGACGGCTTCAGCAGCACGGGAGTTTTGTGGCGTTGAGCAAAAGTCACAAGTGACGAGTCAACTTACAAGTTTTACTCTGCTGCTTATATGTGACTGAAAATAAGATTGATCAATGGGAGAAAACGAATGTACCAATGAAATACACAATGAGCAATATTCAACCGGCCGTAGGCTACAAACCAGACGGACGGAGAGAGTGAATATTGCCATATGACGCAATATTATTGATTTATCTCTGTGAGACTAGTATTGATCCACGATGACCCTAATTTGGGTCGAATGTGTTGTAAAATTGTTTGATTTTGTTCACAGAATTAGTAAGTGTGCAGCCGGGCTTATTGTGGAACGAATGTCATTGATCTTCGTCCCAACAATTCCATTCATTGCCTTGTCTAAAAGCGCGATCGCGTTCCACTGTTAGTAGAACTTGAAACAAAAGTGAAAGTTATTTACTGTAACAGTTTGCCATGGACAGCGGTCTAGCGGTGACGGTGTTTGCCACAATGGTCGTATTCAAAACTGAGCACTACTGCCCATCTCTCGTAATTCATCACGTCCAGTGGCAAGCCTCGATTGATCACTTCCATCCTACTAAGAATCGATTATGCTGATAATTATTCAACAAACAGAAAAGCAAAATTAAAAATAAATGAGTTCAATTTATGTTGGGCAGTGATTGAATTTTGTCATCATAGCATTATTTTCCTTTCACTTTACAAATCAGTTCAGCTCTTACAACCATTAACTATGCACTTTCGTGCGCCGGTTTTGGGTGCTGTCTTTTGATTACCTATTTGAATAAAACAGCAGAATGATGATTAGAATGTTGAGAGCAGATTCAAGCGGAAGACAGCACTTTTTCATAGACTGAAGTTACAAGAATAATGAGTAGATGCATGAGCGCCACTGTTTGCGATAACCACTTTACAAATAACGAACATCAACATATTCCCATCAATTTCTTGTACCAACGGTTTTTAAGAGTGGTGGTCAACCGAAAAGGAGTTTCTCACGGCCTTTATTACTTGTTCTCTAGTTGTCTACTGTACACGGAAAATAGCCATGAAGATATTGAAAATAGTATGAAAAATGTGAAAGTGCTACCCAAAATACACAACCACCCTCCTTTTGGCATTTCTGGCTCTCTAGGTGAATCGATGCTCCGTGTTAGCCTTCTCAAAGATGGTCATGTATTTACTGTACATCGAATCGATCCCCCAACGGATCCGAGTGACCAAGATACCGATAAACTTGTCGAAAATCTCCACAATGAGGTAAGACCCTGTCTGCTTAACTATCGGGAACATTCTTGCAAACAACTCGTTGGGACATGAGCTCCTGTTTTGTTCTATCTGAGAAGACATGTTATTTGTTCCACTACACTCAATGATTAGAACAAAGGCACGTCACGACAGTTAGACAGTACTTTGATCCGATCAGAAAAGGTATTTTGCAAATGACCGAACGATACATGGTGGGAAACTGTGAAGACATGATACAATGACAAAGGACCAAGTTGCAGCACTTGCTTTTCGATTGCAAAATGACTCAATGTCCGTTTATGTGCGTGTCAGGAAAGGGTTGCGCAATTCTGCAAGAATGCTCTCAATGTGTTGCATCATTATTTCAAGTGCTCAAGGTACATCACTAAGTGTCTTTCAATAATGCGTACGAATACCAATCAAGCTTTGTAGGTATATGGCAAGTCAGCCGGTAACCTGCATGGAAGTCCTGACTTGGTGAGAGGCTTTCGATTGGAGTTAACAGTTTGTACCTGTGTCTCCCTTCGTTGCCGTCGGGCCAAATAAACTGACTGACTATAACTGCAGACAACGCTTGAACAACCACAAATGGGCAATTTGGTTCAGTCACGGCATGAGCTGGTTAGCTCAATGGTAACACACACGCCTTCCATGCGATGTGTCCGGAGTTCAAATCCCGGACAGGACAGTGGATATGGACTACTGATGAGCTTTAAAAACAGCAAAACTCAAATCTAGTGCTTCCGAGTGTATCGTTGAATCGATGAACTGAGGATTGCGCGTGAAGGTGAAATCCGAAGTAAAGTCAGTCAAATCAATCAATGCCTACTTCATTTAAGCTTGACACACCCTATAGAGCTACTTCCTTCGTTTTGAGTCATTATACGCCATATTGGGATATAACAGCGTTAGCTTCACTATTTAAAGGTACATTATGAAGAATAAAGATTGCCAAAAAATTTGTCTGGTGTTTTAACAATTCAGTGAAACCCTTTTGAAAGAAATCGTTGGAATGAGATGAATTTGATCGCAAATTTCATTCTTAACTCAAATTTCCACTCACTGATGAACATGCCAAAAATTTAAGGTTTATCTCCGGCAAGAAAGAAATAACTGCGAACACGACTCTGTCTTTTGGATTATCCGCATGTATGTGAGTAGAAACAGTAAACGTGTAACAGTAACACACAATCAGTTTGTAAAGTTTCCAAACGGTTCAAAACCATTGAGGCCAGTGCTGAGATGCACAAGGGGCGATGTCTGCAATAAACTCGGAAGGATGGGCTGTGCCACATCATATATGCAGAAAATGAAAAGAAAACGCTCTAATCAGCTGTCCGGTGGCCGAGTGGGTAGTATGGTTGCGTTCTACCTGTAATGTCCAGGGCTCAATTCCCTGTCGGGTTGATGGATTCGCAATGCAGATGAGACCAAACCAGGACGAAATTATGAAAAAACGATGAAATTAATTTCTTCATCGTTTATTTGTAGTTTTGATATACCTTAAGTTTTATGCCACTGCTCAAAGTCAGAAAATTTGTTTTTTACGTCAGACTGGTTGCATTCAATAGAGTGTATATTGAACTCCGTTCTTAATTTTGCTGTTTTTCCTTGTGCCACAGAGCTGTTTTAATGCTAAATGCATCGCCTGAGACCTGTTGTCATGATGAATGGCGTGAATATATGGCTGATTAGGTCTAACTAACTTTTGATAGGAAAAAATAGAGGCTCAAACAGATTGCTCCTTTCAGTCGCATGTACTCGTTGTCTCTTGTTTAAAGGTGTTTTATACGATATGAATATAAACCGTAACAGTAGGACTGCAAAAAATACAGAAGAATTTCAAAAAAGTTCATATAATGAGGAGCAGTCCGACTTGGAAAATATCAAAATATCTATTCAGGTGTTAAAAAAGTTTTAAGGTTACCACTTTGTCCCTTGATACGTTGAGATGGAAGTTGAGTGAGTTTGTGGTGTCTACTTTGATGCTACATCTTGGAAGTTGCTAAAATAATAGGGTGGTCAGAATCGCTAATGGGAGCTTCATAGTGGGTGGAAAATATTTCACGGTTGCTCATGAAGAAAACGTGAAGCACGTCGTTAAGCCGAGCGGGGAAGGTGTCGAGTAATATCAGACTAACAGTGATTAAAAGGGGATTAATAAGACAGTTAAGGTCTGCCGCGAACATATACAGAGAATGTTGAAAACAAACAATTTGGTGGAAAAACAGTGAATAAAAAATGCAATATCAGAAGCGATAATGCCCGGTGCAATGAAATATTCCGTAGAAGAATACAAAATAAAATATTGAATAAAACTGGGTTTACAACATGTGTGAACAGAGCCTTTTTTATTTATCTATGATTAAATGGAAGAATAGGATTGCCGCAGCAGTAACAGTTTACGAAAGTTTTTGCCCCATTAACTCGGTCACGGAAATTAGCCAGACGGTTGCTTTGAAAGACGTCTTAAAAAGGAATTATCACTTACCCGTTCTCAATATCAACATGTAAGCAGGTTTCCTGTATCAAAATGACACTGAGAAGTTAGTACGTGCACTGAGTGGAAAAGCTATAGGTACCGTCACAATCTGCCAAGATAGAGGAACATTATTATTATGGAAAAAAGGTTCGTTCTATTTACAGCATGCCTTCTGAGAGCAACTATTTAGCCAAAAGAATGTTTCGTTAAGTTTCGGAGAACATCCTTCAATAAACCCTTTGGAAGGACTACAGATGGATATGATCCATCAAGGGAAAATTCCCATTTTGCATAGCAGGACGAAGGGCTATCAAAACACCCTTGCAAAAGGGAAGCATTTGATATGCAGATCTACTCAAATCGATGTGAAACGTGTTTGGGTGACTGATGGAACCATAGTGCAATTTATGGAAATTATACAAAAGCAGGCAAAGCAAGTTTGAACTACAAAAGCATTCCGTGGTTTGGATAAGGACTAAATGAAGCGGTAGTTTCTTTTCCCCAATAATGAACTTTTCCAGACAGTGTGATCTTATTGGATTCAAGGCGTCTCAACTATGCTACGTCTCGTGTAAATGTGATTATGTTGTCTTAGGAATGACTGCAGTGAAAATATGCGTGCTGACCATGAGCGTAAATGGCGACATTAGGGAAAACTGTGGATTGAGGTTGTCGGAGGTAGGGACCAAACGGATACAGATTTCTGTTAAATGAATAACAAGGAAGGTCAACCTCCAAAGGTCACCAATGAAGAATCCACGGTTGGTTAATCAGGTTTTAGTTTTAGCATTCCTTATAGATTACATTTATAATGGCTGCTAGCGTGGGTATGTTATTTTTATGGTTCCAGAATGAGGTCAGGGCTCCAGTGAACGACGATGATGGCTCGGGACAGGCGGAGGAACACGTGGCCACCGAGGATCAAGGACAACCAGAGGAACAAGAGCCGGATGCAAACAAAGTGATATCAACTGATGATATCCCTTCTTACTACAGCTCCTGTACAGCTCAATTTTCAGACGGTCTTCAACTGACAGTAGCTCATTCAACTCAGACACTGAAACTACCATGGGCAGTGAGTTATACTGTCATGTGTACGCAACGAACTAATTATTTGACTCAGTAAAACATGCGATAATATGCAGTGATAGGCTTTTCATGCTAACTGAATTAGAAAAAGTATTCAAAGAGAATAAAAAGTGCGAATCAAAAACACAAGAGAAATAAACAGTCACTCGCTTAGATTTTCAATTTGTTTTAATTTATCAAAACTTTTAACATCTTTTACTAATCAAACATAGCATATTTGGAGACCTAGAATATGAAGCTTTTTAATCCGCTTGCGCATAAGATGTCGTACGATAGATGCTGTTATGTGATGAGATAGTTTATCTGTTGGTTACCACAAGCTTGCAAAGTGTGAAATGTATCAGCCTTTTACAGTGTACTTTTGACCAATTTTCTCATGACTTTTAATAAAGTGTCAATCTGCAAGGAGTAGATTGACTTCAAAGTTGATATGTCATCTTACCAGTGTGTCCAACAGATACCTTGATTAGATAGAACCACTTCTATTTGGGTAGTTGATTTGTTGAAGTATGAGAGATTTCTGGATTCCCGGAAATTTTTTCCAGCTGACTGATGTTAAAGAAGCAAAAAAGGAAAACAATGCCCAACAGCTGATAAAAGATCCCCAGTCCACACAGAAATCCAATCTAACGAAAGATGTCAACGAACCGGAAGCACCGTCACAGCCACCGCCAATTGAGGACACAACAAAAGTGGATTCAAACAACGAAGCTCGTGTGCTTCAATCCATGCTTGCTACTCTTCCAGACGGTGCCCAACTCACCTTTTTGCACATGGAGCACACTGAAGGTGAATTCCTTAATGATGCGATATGCTCTTTGCAAACTGGCTGTTTTCTCTATGAACCACTGGAATGAGTTACGTTGTTTCACTTAAAAATACCTTATCTAATAGACTGAAAAGCTGAACAAACCTATGCAGTTAATTTAATCTTCGCAAATAAGATATGAACAGTTCTTATTCTCTAGTCATACATTGCATTACGTCCAATTATGTAAGCAATCAATTTTCATAAGCTATGATTCAAGTAATCCGGTTTCCTTGCTTTATGGAATTGACACTCACTTTGTATCATTAGGAAACAATAAAACTTATGGTATTCCAACCGCTCGTTAACAGTTAGTTTTAGTGAATTGGGTAGTTCATAGAATTTGCCATTTCAGAGATTAATAGTTTAAGAGTAGGAAGATTATCGAGATTACCTTCCCTCAAAAGTTTTGTCGAAAAAGGCAGTGCTGGATGAACTAATATTAGTGTAGATGATACAGTTTTGTTGTGAATAGGAGTCGGATGAACTTACTTGAGTCCGATAAGCGCTTGTTCTCTATGCTTCTACTAATACTCTGTATTCAAGTTTCTGTCATCTTTGAAACAGCATAATTTGCCTCGTTGTATTGATTAGGCGATAGCCCAATTGGTTTTCATGATGAAGAGTAAATTATGAGAATCAAAAAGTACTAGGGACCAAATAGTAGTGGTGGTGGGCCTCTGTCTTACAACAATAAGCGGCTAGAAGGCTGCAAAAATGTTTACGCAAAACGAAGTGTCTATAAAAAAGTTATTTGAATAAAGATTAGTAGTGTACATTCATTTCAAAGTCAAATAAAAAATTTGGGGTTGATGAATCACACTTTAGGAATTACGAATGAAAGCAAGTTCAGCTGCTCATATTTCGAAAGAATCGGTATTTACGAATCATATATTTGAGCTCATGGATGAACTAGCCTCAAGTCTGTGTGTTTCATGGCTGAGACTTATTACTCCAGCGTGTCGGTGGTTGGAGGAAGACAGTCCTTTGAGGAGCTGGATGAACCGGATTTGGTTCTTCCCAAACACTTCAGAACTCAGTAAACGTTTCGGAACAAGAAAAATGGCTAACTTTAGTGTTCTGCACCAACTCCGCGGAAGTGTACGCAGATATACTGAGTATAATATGTGACATTTTATTATAAATGTCAAGAGATAAAATTTGCAATGCAGTATTTCCAGATATATCCTGCATGGATGATTGGCTACTGAACTTTGTCATTTAATCTATCCTCTCTGTCGTGCTGAGAATACGTTGAGCATACGTTACCAGTCAGCTGTCCGTAATCACTTGCAAATAAGCGCTTTTAAATCCAAATTTGTATTGCCGGCAAGTAAACATCGAGTATTTCAATTCAGTAATAACAGGTCCTTTTGAATCCCGTTTTCCAATGTTTTCTTTTCCTCTTCAGTATTGACTTATACCTCGGAAACCGGTTTGGAGACTTTGGGTACATCGGAATTGACTGTTCACTGTTCGGCAAATCCCACACAATCTAATCATTATGCCAGTTTTCAAAATTCACGCAAGTCTACTGCACTGACAATGAACAAATCTGTGACAGTCCAATCGATGATTTTGCGAATGCGTGCAGCAGATGCGTATCGTTCAACTGAGGCAGAAGAAATGGAGGTGGAACGATATTTACTGGCCAATGGTTCCCTTGTCCTGATTATGAAAACAAAACAAAAGAAAGAGACTCGTATTGGAATAAAGGTGAGAAAGCAAAGCACAAAGTATTTTGTTTTCAATCCAATTTTTACCGCATGAAACTGTCCCCTTAATTCCACATTGAGTTTATCACATTGTTGGGATTCAAAATCAGACATGGAAGTGCTCTGAGTTTAGTTAGGTCTTATGGTTCATCCGATAAACAGTAAAACTACAACGACAACTCCGATCGTTGTTCAGAACGGATGGAAACATCCTCCTAAATGTGCCAACTAATAAAATACATTTAGCGTGAACATAAGACTACCACGGTCCTGAATTTGGAATGAAGGAAAAGTAACTTACCAGTTTAAAAGGGAAATTCTAGTAGTGGGGCGGTAGTGTTTAGCTGATCGTTACAGTTTGGAATCTAATTAGGATTATTTAGACATAATTTAATCTCTGGTTAGTTCCATATCACTCTAGCGATGAATTTCACAAATAATAATTGAAAGTCTCCCATTTCCCATGTTCCCATTTCATCTTAGCTAGTACACACATACATGAATACACTCAGTTATATTCTTGCTCACCTTCAATGTCAGACTTATCGGAAATGCATAAAAATAAAATTGGAATTTTATTCACGTAAAACCTTTACAAATTGTGCAGACAATTAAAATCAATGACCCCTATGTTTCCAAGAGCTTTTGATCACAGCTGCCCCATGATTCCATCAGATAAGTTACAAAATCGGAATATATACAACTATGAATGTTGACTTGGTTATTTCGCCCGCAATAGTTTTTCGCTTAGAGCCGTGTAGGCAGAAAAAAGGTCAAAAAATTGGGAAAGTAATTAGACCACATGGCATAGTAAAAAATATTCATTTACTGGTATCAAGCTGATATATACTAACGAAACTGTTCATGCGTAGCGTTACGTGAGGTCTGCAAAAGATAAACACGTTTTGCGCAAAATGTTTCCGTCTTTCAAATACAGATACTATTGCCTAATGGAGATCGAATGGAGCGTGACACATTGGTGGCTGATCAGTTGTATCACTCTGAACAACCCAGATTTCCATCGGATGTCAGTCCGGAGGAAGAGCCTCAAGTGACCACGGGATGTATGGATGTCCCTGCCGTGGGCAATAGTCGTCGAACTAGTGTTGCGCAATCAAAGTCTCGTGTTCCGGGCAAAAGTGCGCGAAAAAAGGCCGAGGAACAAAAAAGTGAGTCTTATCTCAAATCAAGTCAAGTCAGTAGTAGCTTTACGCACCCGGATATGTGTAATTTCAGCAATTACTCCATAGTTGTGGAATCAAATTTTCAAAATCATTACATAATGAAACTGAAAGAAGTGAGGTGTTTGCCAATGAAGCAAGCGGTTGCGCAATTCTGTGGAAATTTTGTCCTTGTCTATAAGTAGACTTGTTAGATATGGTGGAACTGAATTACGATAAGCAGAGGTACGTGAAAATAACAGTTTAAATCTTGAGCGTGTGGATGATGTAGATACAGCTTTTGAAAATTCGTTGTGATGGGTAGTGAGTGTCTGAGAGTATTTTGGCTGTGAAACTTTAGCATGCTTGTAGGTGTCTGTTAATGATAGAAACGGTGAGTTTATCCCTGACAATGCCACTACATTTAGAGACGTGTTTCAGAGATCTCGCCAGTAAATAAAAGTCTTTGTTCAACATACCGGGAAAAATTACTGGAGAGCAATACAACCAGTGGGGTAGCACGCATGCATTCACAAATCTAACAATCAGCTTGTGGGGAACAGAAAGTAATCTCAATCGGAGTGAGATATAAGACAGTTTTCCAACTATACAGAATGTGTTTTGAACGTGCAGTGACCATGATAGATTGTGTGTTAGGGTGATGCCAAGGTATTTTACTATTTTGGATTTCGGTATGGATTGTTGATTTGCAGAGGGGGTGGGGAACCTATCTGTTAGGGCTGAATGTGGTACATTGGCCAA